TATTAGATAGTGGCTGTCGTATATCACGAACGGATTTAAGTAGGAATGTGTAGACTGTTAGATTTCAGCTCGGTAACTAGGTGTTGGCGTGCTCTCTATGAAACCTGGTGACCCTGGATTCTATCCTTCACAGGGACAAGGGTTAAGACTGCCAGGTAATCCTGAACTAGGAAACAACATGACTACTATGGTGCGCTCTTTGTGAGATGGAATTAATTATCAACAGGAGATAGAAAGTCAAAAGAGGAGGCTGCATTGAGATACAACAGAACACTTTACAACATTGGCAACTGCGATTGAAAAATCAAGCAGACGATAAAAAAAAATAGAGAAGAAACACCATTCAAGAGGAGCTTTCCGAGATCTCGAAATCACTGATATCAGAAGGGAAGAAAACGATTAACTGCATAGTCAACTTGTCCAAACAGTTCCTGACCGAATCCGAGAAATTTCTCCTTCAGAAAGGATTAAATTACAATACGGGGAACGCTCCAGGATCAGAATTCTTCACATCCCTAGAGTAATCACTGAAGACTTCAGGACTAAATTCTGAGGCCCAACCGAAAATGAGATAAATGGTGGTACCTCTAACCAGGCGAAAGAAAACCTGCACTCAACTAACCAGTGAAGAACAGAGAGTATTATTAATATAGGTGTAAAACTTGGGCACTGTGGTAGAATTTAATGCCATATTAGATATGTTTATTTAATTTTTAACACAGCGATCTAGTGTTATTTACTTGATGACGTTTCGAGCATAAATTATTGTCCATAATCATTATATATATATATATATATATATATATATATATATATATATATAATTTTTTTTATTAGTCCCTTGGGTTCCTAATGGAACATAGGGCTTCAGTAACTCGTCTCCAGTGAACTCTGTTCTCTGAGATCTTTTGAACCTGTCTCCACGACAGCCAACAACCTCTCATTTCCTCCTCGCACGATCTCCTCCATGTCACCCTCACCTCGGACGGTCAACTCGTCGCTTCCCTTGGGATTCCACTCGAGGGCCTGGCCTGACGCGTGATGTCCCCAGTCGGCTTTCTCAGTGCATGCCCAATCCATCCCCACTTCCTCCTGCATATTTGTTGGGTGATAGGTTCTTGCTTCGTTGGTTCGTTCCCAGAGCTCCTTGTTGCTTATGCTTTCTGGCCATCTGATCTTCAGTAACGAGCCAGCGTAAGCAGTTGTTGATGAATGTGTGTAGTTTATTGGAAATCCCTTTCGTGACGCGCCAAGTCTCTGAACCATACAGAAGCACTGACTTGACTGGGTTGGTGTTGAAAATCCGTATCTTGTTCCACATGCTGAGTGCAGAAGATCTCCACACTGGTTTCAGGCTAATGAACGCCTGTCTTGCTTTTCCGATTGCCTGACTTTGACATCCTCGTCTGTGCCTGTGCTGCCTGTAGTTGAAACAGTGCTTCCTAGATAAGTGAAGGAGGTTACTTCCTTTAAGTTTCTCCCGTTGGTGGTGATTGGAGTTTGTTGTTGTTGTTGGTGGTGCAGTATTTTCATCACCTCTGTCTTCTCTATATTCACGTGAAGTCCCGTCTTCACTGCCTCTTCTACCAACTTGTTAGTTTTTGCCTGCAGATCTTCAAGTTTGTGTGACATCAGACACAGGTCATCATTGGCGAAATCCAGATCTTCTAGGTTCTTTCCCGCAGTCCAGTGTATCCTCCTCTTCTCGCTGCCCACTATATATATATATATATATATATATATATATATATATATATATATATATATATATAATGTAGTTTAAGAGAGGTGAGGAAGTTCTATGAATTTATGGGGTTCTTCAAAATGTGTCGTTCTGGACTCAATAAAGTTTTATCAGTGCATGTTTTAAGAATCCATGGGAATTCACTGCCCGTTTTTTAACTCTAAACGATGATCTGTTGTATGTGCCAATCGCCTTTTGTTTTTACATTAACCATCTAAACCTTTGTAATAAAAAAAATTATTATTATCAAGGTACTTTGATTATGCACTAGTTATGCATCGTTCAGTTAACTGTCAAGGCAAAAAAGTATTTAATATTTTGATGTGTGATGAGAAGTCAATAAAAAGATTGACTTAAAAGAACACCCTAGCAACCGCTGAAATAACCAATCAGATTTCACCATTTCATTTGCCGAAACAAGATCTGATCAGTTATCCCAGTGGTTGCCAACATGCTCTTCAAACTAACGCAGAGAAAGCCTTCATACCCTGGTGAATATGATAAATAGAGTGATTTGGAACCTACTGCCATAAAGCTTAAAGCATTGTGACAGGTCTAGAGGATATATGGTTGACACTTAAAAATCACCGTAGCCACAATTAAAATATCCAATTAAGTTCCTTTATTTCGATCGGAAAGATAGATTTTCATAGAATAAAGATCTGTAATTGGTTATCTCAACAGTTGCTAGGATGGTTTTTAGTATCACTCGAGCAAAAAAATATAAGTTCACTCAATTCCTTTCTATCCTTTCACATTCAGTGTGTAAAGATATCTTGGTAAAAAATGTCGTGATACAAAGCAAATTCCTATTTTTCTTCAATGTTTCAAATAGGTAGTGCGATATCACTCAGATATACGTTAATGTGGAAAATTGGTATCTAAGATCTGCTTGAAGCCAATTTCAAGTTGTTATTCATCGTAGACTGACTGACATCAGTTGGAGGAACAAAGGAAACCTGGGAGCACTGGACAGCTGTTTCGTCCTAGTATGGGACTCCTCAACAGTGTGCACCTACGACCCCACCAGCAGGGATCGAACCCGCGACCTTCAGGTTCCGCGGCCACCGCGTTACCATTGAGCTAGCCACTGGGTCAGAATTCATTGCTCCATATTTCCAACTTCTGAAGCCAATTTGTCAGAAATCGAACTTGTCACTAAACTGAATAAGAAAATACTCTATTATTATTATTATTATTATTTTTTTTTCTGCTAAAATTACGCTTAGCACTCACGATATCAGGGTGTACCGGAAGCTAGAATTTACATTTAGATGGCGATTTAATGAGAAGACTGATATTAAATGAGTTTTTTCATAGACAGTAAGAGTAATCCTTAGGAACAAACTATACAATGGCGCTTTTCTTTAGCATTTTTTATATGATGAAGGACTGTTCCAGTCGATTGTATTTTGCAGGTCAATTAAGATTTAATCTTATCTTTTTCTGGTTGAGTTTGAACTCTGCTTCACGTACCAAGGTTCGGGCAACTAGCTAGCGTTATTAGGCCTCACACAACAAATGTGTCTGAATGAACCCACACCAGTTTACTGAGTACGTTTTGACTTCACTTTTTGTTTGTTTATTTCTGAGTTTTTCTGTTTGCTTAATAAGCAGGGTTTATGACGTTTTCAAGGGTATCAGTTAGTCAGTCAGTCACTCAATACCAACATGGGAATTGACGTTACTGCAAACTGGATCCATGGTCTTACATCAGCTTGTCGAGATAAGACACAACTAGATTAAAGTCAAAGAAGTGAGAATATGCTAATCAAAAGTCGTATCTGTGCTTCTGCTTTCTATCTTAAATCACACCACTGACAGTGTCTCCAGCTAACTCCAACCTTGAAGTTTTCTTGTCAGGGTTAAGAAGAGTGTTTTATGTAAAATGATCAAGTAGTTAAAATTTTTTGTATACACTAAACAAAATGATGTGGATTTATTTCCCGATTTCGATCACAACCTATCTGTGTTAAAAATGTCAGTTGCAAGGAGAGTTAACGAAGCATTAATCTTCAAACTGAATTCAAAGGATTGTGTAAGAACCGTCAGTTAGTCTCCGGACTAATACAGATCAATATTTATTGGGTTTCAGTCAAAGAATTAAAAGTTCCAACACCGGAGGTCTCTTTATTCTTGTCTTTTGTTTGGTTTCATTGATATTTCTTCCTTGTTTTCTATTCGTTTGCTGTTGTTAAGCGTGTTCCTAACAATAGATAACGACTGGCACTTATTGCACAAGTATTGGCTGTCGTGACTCAGTAGCCTACTAGATAGCAATCCAGTGTTTCAAGCGACGATTGTTGGGTTCAAGTATTAGTGGAGAATCTACCACTCACTGGAATGCGAGTGTATCCAGCTGATGAGTCTCAAGCAGAAAGAAACACTCATCGGAGATTTCACCTGCAGCCACCATCAAATCAATTATATTCTGTGGTTTTGTTTCAGACTTCACTTTGATTTCTGTTAATTAGTCATTATGCTTAGGTTACTTGTGTTACGTGCATGCTGCATGCTCAACTGAAAATTTCTTCTTTACACCTGATCGACCGAATGCTTTGAACCATGGTTTTGCGCTCATTGATAGTCGTTAGCAAGGCGTATCTTCAAACTCTAGGAAAGTGATGTTATATCAAAGGTTTGAAACTGTATCACGCAATGCTACAGTCACCAAAGTTACCTCTGAGCTATTTAATCTGTGATTGGACCTTCTTTTCGTTTGACTAGATTGGATACATTTATTAGTCGCTAGAGAGTAATCAACTTCCTACTGTCTATTCCTAAAGGCTGGCCGAATTTTACTGATCGTTTTATAGTGTGACCACCAAACTAGGAAATATACCATTTTGGTGTACTTCGATAGTTGTTAGTTGGGGGGGGGGGGGATCGATTGAGACTCAAATAAATGATACGCCTTATTGGCGAGTACCAGCAAGTATGAAACTTAAGTCAAGAGGTTCCTACCGATTTCCTACAATCAATTACTACCATATGTCAGTCTATTCCGAATCCAATCCTAGGATGCTTACTTTTATTTTTCATAGAGTAGGCAAACTTGTTAGTTTTGTTTTCAGGGATACAGTTACCACTACATTTAGCGAAACTTATTTATCGCTTTTCGTATCAACTATAATCTCAAAAGGTAGACTGTTTCTAGTAATGAATGTATATTCCCTTGAGCTTTATAATCATTTGTTATATGTACTAATTGTCATTGATATTATTATGTTTTATTTTTCTTCTTCATATATTACAGGGAATGAGTGAATTAGCTGGATTATTTCTTATCTATATTGAAGATGAAGAGGATGCCTTTTGGGCATTAAATCAATTGATGACAGGTTATCGACATAATATGCATAGTGTATATGTTGCTGATTTCCCTGGATTGAAGCGTTTATTCACTCATCATGAACGTATTGTACGTAAACTATTGCCTATATTGGATAAACATTTCACTAAACATGATATGTTAACTAGTACATATGCATTGAAATGGTATATGCAATGTTTTTTAGATCGAGTAAGTCTGAGATTGATTATTATTATATTATTATTATTGTTTGTCGCTTGGGTTCCTAATGGAACATAGGGCTTCAGTAGCACGTCTCCAGTGAACTCTGTTCTCTGAAATCTTTTGAACCTGGCTCCACGACAGCCCAGAAGCTCTCATTTCTTCCTCACACTATCTCCTCCATGTCAACCTCACCTCGGACGCCCAACACGTTTCTTCCCATCTGGGTTCCACTCGAGTGCCTGGACTGGTGCATGATGTTCCCGAATAGTCTTCTCAGTGTATTCCCAATCCATCTCCACTTCCTGCGTCTGCATATTTGTTGAGCGATAGGTTATTGGTTGGTTCGTTCCTAGAGCTCCTTGTTGCTTATTGTTTCTGGCAATCCATCTGATCTTCAGTATCGAGCCAGCCTAAGCAGTTGTTGAAAGTGCCTTTCGTAACGCGCCAAGTCTCTCAACCATAAAACAGAAGCACTGACTTGACTGGGTTGGTGTTGAAAATCCGTATCTTGTTCTAAATGCTGAGTGCAGAAAAAAAGATCTCGACACTGATTTCAGGCTAATGAACACCTGTCTTGCTTTTCCGATCTTGACTTTGACATCCTCGTCTGTGCCTGTGCTGCCTGTAGTTGAAACAGTGCTTCCTAGATAGCTGAAGGATGTTACTTCCTCTACGTTTCTCCCGTTGGTGGTGATTGGAGTTTGTTGTTGGAATTGTCGGTGCAGTAACTTCATCACTTCTGTCTTCTCTATATTCACTTGAAGTCCTGTCTTCGCTGCCTCTACTGCCAACTTGTTATTTCTCGCCTGTAGATCTTCAAGTTTGTGTGACATCAGACACAGGTAATCATTGGCGAAATCCAGATCTTCTAGGTTCTTTTCCGCAGTCCAGTGTATCCCCCTCTTCTCGCTCCCCACTGTTTGCTGCATGGTCCAGTCCACTACAATCAGGAGTATCATGGGGGATAGTAGGCAACCTTGTTTCGCTCCTGTCTTCACTTCAAAAGCATCACTGAGCTTCTCATTGTGAATTACTTGGCATGTGGTGTCTTCATATAGTTGTTGAATGAGGCGGATAAAGGTTTGAGGTACTCCGTAGTAGTGAAGCAGCTTCCAAATTACTTCTCGGTCGACGCTGTCAAAGGCCTTCTCAAAGTCGATAAAGTTGAGGTAGAGAGTTGACTGCCATTGATTATACACTCTGTTTAAAGATGATGGTTCATATATGTTGTTAAATAAACTGTGGAGGTGAGGTTTATTGGTTTAAGAAGTTGGAGCTCCACTCAACTTATCCAGATTTGACAGTCAAGTTGTATAATTAGCCTTCATGCAATGGGTTTATCTCATCATCAACGGTATGAATATGCACTAAGCGTATTTCTATTTCGAGTTCCATATGCAGAATCAAATAGAAGAAAATTTCTAATCACAATGAATACTTGTAGTCTCAAAAAAAATTTATTCATACGACTGACGTAAATATTATTTCATTCACTGAAGAGGAAACCAACCGAATTAGAAGGTACTGTAGCGTAATAACAAGTGAGCGATTTCAGTTTAGTGGAGGGATGTTTGTATTTGTTTGGTATAGGTCTACTGAATACAAACAATTTGATAGCGTTCAGCATATGATATAAATAAAACAGATGAACAGAGCATATTTAACAATTATTCTGGTATGTTACGATGGATAATTGATGTGGTTCACCTACTCATTTTATTGTATTCACAGAAGAACTTATTCTAGGGACTTTAGACTGCTCATTGCAACCTCTACGGAATCTGTATACATATTTTCAGCAGTGTATTTGTATCTTATGGCAATAGACAATCTGAAATAGTAGGTGTTTGTATACAGCGTAATTTACCAGTTGGATTATTTGAATTGATATCGCATACATTAATTCCGAAAGTAATTAGCTAAGGTTACGATTCCCTGTGTAACACTTGGATAATTACTGGAATTTATTTGTGACATACTTATTGTTGATTTTGGTTTAGATCAATTACATCAGTCGGTGATGTTGGTGGACGTGTTTATTGATCAATAACATTCTGATACTTAGTACAACTTTCTTTATCAGTCTTAAAGGTTACAGAAGTGCTCAAACTCCTTTTGTAACTTCAGAACACCGATACCAACAATTTTACGATGAAATAACTAAGTGTACCTCACTTTATAGCTTTTATCCTCACTTAGCGAATTAAAAAATTTGGTCTGAAGCGCTAATCAAGTTAAATGAATAGTTCTTTATCGTTTAAAACCCGTCAATACAAGCTAGTCTATTAGTGAGACTGTGATTTCACACACGCACACACACACACACACACACACACACATTCATTATATCTCATCAACCTAGTATAGTCTCTAATCTTATAGCAGCTGGACCCCTGAATCCAACATATATTCCAAAATGATTTATTTCCATGCATTCCATTGGTTAATTTTCACATATGACTGTTTCTTGAACCTCAAGAAGATATATCGTTATTATTATTATTTTTCCCTTGGATTCCTAGTGGAACATAGGGCTTCAGTAGCACGTCTCCTTTGCACTCTCTTCTATGCAGTCTTCTCTTTTGTCAACCTGGCGCCACGACTGCCCACAAGCTTTCATTTCTTCCTCCCTCACATGATCTCCTCCATGTCATCCTTGCCTCAGATGCCCAACTCATCGTTTCCCATTTGAACTCCACTCGACGGCCTGGCCTGGCGCGTGATGTCTTCAATCGGTCTTTTCTGTGTATGCTCGATCCAGTCCAATCCATCTCCACTTTCTTCTTCTGCATATTTGTTGGTTGATGGGTTCTTCGTTGGTTGGTTCGTTGCCAGCCAGCCAGAGTGACTTCCTTGTTGCTTATTCTTATTATTCTGGCCTTCTCTTCTCATCTCATCTGATCTTCAGTGTCACCATCGAGTGAGCGTCGGTGGCATCTGTTGACAATGCATTTCTGTAGTTTGTTGTAAATGCTTTTTGTGACGCGCCAAGTTTCTGAATTATATAGAGACACTGAATTGACTGATGTTGGTGTTGAAAATGCGGATATTGTTCACTCCTTATAGTGAGTGCAGTGCAGTGCAGTCGATCTCTTGACTGATTATTTTAGAATAATGAAGACCTGTCTTACTGTTTTTGTGATGCTGTCTGGCTTTGACATCGTCATGTGTGCTCGTGTGGCGTGTAGTTGAAATGATGCTGCGTAGGTAGGTGGTGTGTAGGTGGGAGAGACTAGTTGTTTTTTTAGATTTGTGTCGTTGGTGATGGTGATGGTGCTTGTTGTTGTTGTTGTTGGGTATCTTCATCACCTGTGTCTTTTGTGGGTTCACTTGGAGGATGTCTTGTCTCTGCTGCTCTGCCTGTTGTGTTAACTTGTTAGTTTTTGGTTGTAGATCTTTGAGTTTCTGCTACATAAGACATTAGTCATAAATGATCATGGGCGTAATCCAAATCTTCTTATGGGGTCTTTTCATCGGTGCAGCGAGTGTATGCTCACCTTCCCGCTGCATGATCCAGTGGGGTGCAGTCGACTACAATCAGGAAGACGATCGGTGATGGTAGGCTTCAGCCTTGTCTTACTCCTGTCTTGACTTCAGAGGCATCACTGAGCTTTCCATTGTGGATCACTTGGCATATGGTATTTTCATATAGCTGTTGAATGCGGTTGATAATGGTTTGTGTCACTAAAACCGTAGTGTTGAAGCTGCTGCCTGCCAAATTGCTTGGTGGTCGACGCCTCAATCGAAGGTCTTTTCAAAATCGATGAAATTGAGGTAGAGATCCAGTTTACTGCCATCCTATACTCTGTTCTATGATTGTTTCTTATTAAGGACATTATAAATCATCAAATCACTCACATTATTTGCTAAATTAAGAGTCATTTGTTTTCTGTTATAGGGGAAATAAGCAAACATCTTTCACTTGTGTTATTAGGTTGAAAACGTTTTAATATCCAATGTAGAAAGTTTTTGCAAGACTTCGGTCATAAATCGACAGGATGTTCTTGATTAAGATTTTCTGCTTGTTTGCTCTCTTCAATAAGACGTATCTGCAACTATGAGGAAATTGGTATTGCTCCTGGTGATTCGAACTCGTATCATTCTTTCCCTATTTCAGAGACTAATCACTAAACTATTCAGCCTATAACTGACCCCTGTGGAAACGAATCGTATAAATGAGTTAGTCATCCGTTGTACGTACTCTATAAGACTTCTCACTATTGATTTGAGCTATGTAAAGAGATGTAGGCTTCCTAACAAAGGGTTTTGGAAGGATAGGAAGCTAGGATTCGGAGACTTTTTTGATATAGATCATAGGCAACTACTGTTGCGTGGATATATTTGAAGTTTTGATCATTTTTATTCACCTTCATTTGTTTCCCCCTTTAATACATCTTGTCTCTTTGTTCGAGAAAAAATTTTGTTCGTCGTAAGTTGTTCGCTGAGCTATGATTTTAGTTGGCAAACATTTCAGTTTCATGCTAGTCATCACCATCGCTGCATCAAAACTTTAAAGGATATCCACGGTCTGAGTTACAAATACTCACCACAATGTCTGGGAAAGATTTTCTCAACGATTTAGACCTCTTGCTCTTTATGATCTCTACTGTAATATCACTTTTAAAGTTGATAATTGAAATTTTCTGCTCATCTGTGCAGAATCATTTGATCAATTTTTTTTTTTAATTTTTAAAGTTATTTTCAGTGAACTTTAAAGGATAACATTTTTTGATACTTACTTTCGAAAGCGTCCCAGTGATCATCTGTGCAAATCTGTCTGATACTTAAAGAAAGCGATCGAACTAACTGGTTCATTTTGCTGACTGATCACTTTTGAAAATTCTTATTCCTTTCATTCTACACTAGTTTTCTATGGATTCATCTTGTCTTCCTCACCCGGATATCTATAGATTCATGGCTGATTGATGTAGACAGGTGATTTTAAGCGATTTCGAACTAAGTACCACCTATCAGGGTTTGGGCAGTCAGGTAATAACAGAAGATAGGTGTGTACTTATCATCTCAATTTCTAGCATAAACTTAACTGGTCGACGACAACTGTTAAACATCTGATGTCCATAGCCTTATATTCATTGTTTTTATTTCAGGTGTATGAATGTTCTCCCATATTCGATAACCCATGTCAATTAGTAATGGTAGTTTTGTTGTTTTCGGTGGTGGTTATTGATTGTCTTGTCTTTATGGTGTAGGCGGTGATGGGTGTTATTTGTCTAGTTGGATTTCTCTCTTTCCTTCCAAAGTCTATCAAAATGTAATGAACCTATAATGACATATTCTATCGAGTTCTAGGTCTCAACTATACAGTCTAGAAACAAAATAAGCTTGTTAGTTATATTTACATTTAAGATTTGAACATTGCGCATTCACATTAAGTATGCTTTATTTATTAAATATTTATTTATTTATTATCACAGTTACCTGTTACCTTAGTACTTCGTTTATGGATATTTACTTATTGGAAGGTGAAAAGTTGCTCCTAGCTATGGCGTATAATATACTGAAAATGCACAACAGTATGTTTATCCTATTAATTTATGAATATGTTTGTTTGTTGTGTGTATTGTTTATTAATCCTACTAAATCAATGTAACTGATAATTTTATACTAATGATAGATAGTAGTTAGCAGCAGAATCTAGGATGTGTTTGTTTCGTCCTGTTTGGGACTCGTCAGCTGGATGTACCTGCCTCCCAGTGGGTGATGTTGTCCTCACTGGGACTCGAACTTGGGGTCGATCGCTTCAAATACCAGAGGGGGTTATCCACTAGACCACCGAGCCACGATAGCCACTTCTTGTACGACGGGTTTAGTTCTTAATATTGGTGTTTGTGTTATCCCGTCGTTGATCGGTCTCTATTGGCATATATATATATATATATATATATATATATATATATATATATATATATGCTGAGTAATTATTGTTTAAGTCTGCAGGCTGCGTTTAGTGTCGTTCACACTAAACCTTTACTTGATTCTTAAGTGCTGTTCTAATATTTCATCATTGGGGCAATCAAGCAAAACCTGGTGGCCTAATTGAACTTTTGGGCTACCAATAAAATTTTCCACTGGACATATTATATGAAATTGTTTCCTTTCTTTTTGTTTGTTTTAATCTATCAAATATGTCCTCCAAGCCAAACATATACTCTTGCGGATTTTTAAAATGTTCTAAATTAGCGGGTTTTTTTCGAATTAATAACAAAACTTATGAAAAATGTCATATAAGACAGAAATGGACTTTTAAATGCCTAAATATACATCATATTTCTGTTCCTCGGATATCTATCTCGAATAGCATATTCTTCTACTGGCTGAATGATTCAACACCACCGCTAAACATCAGACGGTAATTCAATACCAACCGGCTGCTTTCCCTTATTGTTTTTTTTTTAATGCTGTTATCATAAACATTCAGATGCAATAATCATTTTGTTTGAAAATATTGTTTTGGAGTTAATTCCATACTATATGGAACATGTTGTTTAGAATAAAGCTACTATTATTATTGATAGTTGAGCTATGGCTCATCAGTTTGGGGAGTGACTGTTAACCAAATGGTTGCGGGTTCCAACATCATTTCACCTACCGAGATATGGGCATCCAGGTAGTACGACTAGCCTCCATACAATAGGTGTATCGCTTATTGGCTAGTGTATGGGTGTGCATAAGGTGAGTGAGGATGTTTCATTCTTTTTCCATTATAAATATGATGATAACTAGTATGATAATGAATAGTGATGGTACCAGTATGTGAACGCCACTGTTGATTAGTATTGGGATATCACTTTAAAAAGCTAATTTACAAACAAAGGCCAACCAATTTAGTTGAATAATATGAACGGCATGAAAGTACACACATGAATGAATAGTCAGTAATGAATAGTAAATGCTTACTCATACCTCTTAATATGCTATTATTGATGACCTTTCCTTTAAAAAGCATATTAATGTCTTAAAGAAATAAAAATGTTTTTATTTCGATATTAGTGATAGTAGTTCGATGCTCCTTGAGCTTTGATATTTTACCATAACCCTGCTAAGGGTCGGACTTCAGGTTTCTGGGCGAATGCGTTAACCAATCAGCTGGAGGTTCAATGGTTCAGAGTTTCCTACTTCTGCAAATTCACGATATTGTTTGATTATCCATCAAGGTCTTCAGTTGGGATCGGCTCCACTTCCAACTACAGATCCTCATTAGAACTTCATAATATTCATCTCGAAACGAGTCACTAATGAGTACTGTACAGTAGTAATATAGTTTCGGTTTTATGCGGATTTTTTTTTAGATAGTACTCATTACGGACTGGTTGTGTTAATGATAGATTCCAGGACATATATTTTATCCTTTTTGAGACTTTTCAGCTGGATTTACCTGCCTACCAGTGAGTTATATTGTCCTCACTAAGACTTGCACTCGAGATGGATTGCTTTAAACGCCAGACGGTTAACGACTAGACCACCGAATACGATAGCCACTTCTAGTGCGATGGGTATAATTAAAAGTTACAAAATTAGTGGATATAGTTACAATAGTTTTGTTATTTAATTACATAAGGGTCGAATGATAACGAAAAGTAGTTAAGTGAGATTTTTAAAATCGTTCATATGATCCACATTGATTACAAAGGGGTAACAAACATAGCAGAGCCAATAAACCTTCAAACATTTAGGTAATATGAATAGAACAAGTTGAAAATTTTTTGTTAAAAGTTGGAATTATTCAGAAGATTAAGTGAAGTAACACTAGAAACTGTTAAATTTGAAAATAATAATCATGATAATGATATAAGAGTACAATGATTAATTTAATACAGGAGAAAGTCTAGAAAAAGTGAAACAAACTGAGACTAAACTAAGCTAAGATAGAGACAAAGATTGTACTTATTTCAGTTTATAAATAGCCAAGGCTTCTGCTGTTTTCAGAAGTTGAAGATAGAGAAAATATCTGCGAATGTTTGATCGAATTCGATAAACAACCATTAAAGCATTACTTATGACGGTTGAATAGTTGAAGTCGATTAAATGTTAAAGTATAGAATTTCTGATATATTTCTTTTCACCAGATGGGAAATATGTTCTTGTATACGTGTTGATAGCAATTTCTGACTTCATATGATGTTCACTTATACATTCAATCTAATGCTTATCATTAATAGAGATGGTTATTGAAACAAATTAATAAAGTGTCACGTAACAATCATGTATAGTTTTGTATGATACACGATGAGATACATTCATTGTATGAGAGCTTAAGATACTCCTTGAGTTCTTAAACTTCAATAGATGGAGTAAGGTTCTGACTCATGATACACTTATTGAAAATCAACTACGTAGACCAATTTTTTACAACTATAAATTCTGCTATATTCCATTTATCTTGAATCATCATATATCTGGTACTATTCTCAAGAATTTGATAATTAGTCGTTCATATGACTGCAGGTTAAGGCATCTATTATCAACTACACACCTGATAAATCTAACAATTTTTATATCTACACACTTGGCTTGCTAGCTAAACTATAGCTCACAATAGATTGTAGACAGTAAGCGAAGCTGTTTAGCCTAGAAAAATATGTACAATATTTACAACACTTTTTCTGTATAATGATATGTATAAAATAGTTGAATAGCTGATAGTGAGTCCATAAATATATTAATAAAAGTTTACAACTGTAAGAGAAATGTCTTTGTTGTATTGTGTTCTCTGAGCTGGGTTGTTTAATCGTGAAGCTTTCATCGTCCTGTCAGACGACATCATCAGCACTAACTTCAGTATGAAGTAAGCTGTCAATATCTCTCCGTGATTGATTTAGTAGCTTGCTGTGACGATGTGGTCTGTGATTAGTTGTTTCCTTCGATTGTTGTGTCATTGATTGTACAGATTTTCCTGTTGGCTGTTCTTCTGCTTGATGTCTGACCTTCTTGTCGTTTATCAACTTTCTTATTTGTTGATAGATTGCGGTGTATGTTTATACACCTGTTGATTGCTGACTGACTGACTGACTGACTGAGCTGAATGTCAAGCTTGTAGGAGTTCTCTGACATTCTTTGTGTTTCCTCTGTGTGAAATTTCTACATTGTGGAGATTGAATTCATGTGGATAGTTGTTATCCACGTGCATTGAAGTGAGTGATGAAATGTCGTTGTGTTTAATAGCCGACTGGTGCTGATGTAGACGAAGGGGGAATAGGGTGACCACGTTGTCCAATGTAGTGTTGACTACAGTTGTTGCAGTTGATTTTGTGAATGATATTTGGTTTGTGTTCTTTGGTTGTTGTGTCGGTCCTTTGATCTGCATAATAGTGTTTGTATGATATGTTGGTTTCTGAGTGGTGACACTAATTCCAAGTGGTTTGTGTCAGTAATCTTGTCGTTATTTCTGATGTATTTTTTATGTATTGTAGGATGATTCGTTTGTTGATTTCTGTGGATGACTTTGTAGTTGATGATGTAGAGGATAGGGATATTGTGATAAAGTTTTGTGGGTATCCGTTCTTCTTTAGGTAGGATGGACATGAAGTAATTTTGTTGGTTTTTCCATGAATTTGTTGTACTGTAGTGTGTTGTCGCTGTTTTGAATGTAGTCTGTACGCAACTGATTTTGTGTGTTGTTGTTGTTGTTGTTGCTATTGTAGTTGAGGACATGATCAGTGTGTTTGCTTCCTGTACACTTGGGTTTTCAGGTTTCTGGCATTTGTCCAACTGACTAAAACATCTATGAATGGTAGTTGGTTGTTTGACTACTTCTCCATTATGAATTTGGTGTCACTGAAAACTTTGTTGATCAAATTGTGGGTGTTTTTTTTTTATCAACGTTTAATAATGACAAAAGTGTCGTCCATATAGCGAATCCAGAATTTTGGTTTGACCACCGATAGGATGATAGGTTCCAGTCTCTCTCTCTGTGTTAGTGAAATGTTTTAATTTATTTCATATATTTATAGTAATTCACTGAAACATTTTCAAATTCTATAGGCAGATAGGGAAATCAACGTACAATTTGATACAGAAGTTATCATATTTCATGGCAATATGCCAGAAAATAAGTTAATAGAAGTAACCAAAACTGCATTACAACTAAGAGAATAAATAAATAAATAATCTATTTTTGAGACGAATAGGGATTTTTAATTTAAACGTAGTATTCATCATGGACTGACATCAGTTAGGGAGCCATTGGAAATCTGGGAGCACTGGACAGATGTTTCGTCCTAGTATGGGATTCCTCAGCATTATGAATCCACGACCCGGCAAAGGGTGGAACTCACAACCTTCGAGTTTCACGGCGAACGTGTTAACATTCAACCACTGGGTCAGTTCCCATGACCTGTGGGATCAACCAGTCGAAGTGAAGTGGATGCTAACTGAACACTTTGGGTGACATTCGCGCTATGTCGTGAATTGACAGAAGTTGGGAATTGTGAATTTCTGGAAACCGACTTAGTGGCTGAATAATTAACGCGTTCTCCGTGAAACTCGAAGGTCCCGGGTTCGATTCCTTGCCGGG